CATGAATTAATTGGGTCAAGTCCAAGGCCGTCATGGAAGCCAAGAACTCCTGAGCTGCCGCCGACGTCCCACCCACTGATGGCAGGTTGAAATCCCCCAAGACCATAAGTCTGGGGGTCCCAACCGCCACCCCGGCTATCACGTCAGCCAGCTCAGGCAGGGCTGTTGATACATAGCAGGGAGCCAGGTATATAATCAATAAGCCCACTTGTACCCCTTGCCCCCACTTCACAAGGAGGGACTCCACGCCGTCTATCTGAGGCACAGTGGTCTCCCTTGGGCAAAGGCTCTCCCTTATAATGACCGCTACCCCCCCGCCCCTACCCCGGGTCCTTGGCAGCAGCATACCAGAAATCGGCCTGTGTAAACAAATGAAGCCCCATCCACACAGGATGCAGGCAGCAAGTGAAACTATGCTTCCTCGGGTGGGTGGAGAAACCGCTCTTCACAGAACCGGACCCTGGTGCCCCAAAGGTTGGGGGTCATTGCTCTAAAGCAGGGTTCCCCAACCTTTCCAGGTTGATAGCCTGGAGAGGGAGGGAAGGAAAAGAGGGAATGGTTTTCTGGGAGGGGCAGGTGCAAGAGTATCTATTGCTCACGGGAGTGGGGCCAAGCGCACTCATGCTGCTCACGTGAATGAGGCCTCAAGCAAGCACCCGTGACACGAGTGAGGCCCCGAGCACCCACGACACTTGCACAAATGGGGTTGGGAATGGCCAAAAACGCTCATGTGAACGAAGCCCCAAGCGCTTGTGCAAGTGAAGTCCCAAGTGGCCTCATGAGTCCCCAAGCACCCACAACACTTGCATGAGGCTCCAGCACCCACAACACTCACAAGAGAGGCAAGTGCCTGCGACGCTCACACGAGTGGAGCTCCGCGTGCCCCCGACCTTTGTGTGAAGGAGGCTCCGAGCACCTCCAATGCTAATGTGAGTGGGGCTGCAAGCACCCCCAATGCTTGCACGAGTGGGGTTGTGCCCGCGCATGCACGCACACCAGCCAGCCACTCACACGGCCCGGTTGCGTATATAGGACACGGACTGTGTAGTGGGATGTGGCTCGCAGGTTGGAGACCCCTGTTCTAAAGATTCAGAATGGGAGCTTCCAATAGTACCAATTTTATTTTCCACCATCAAAGAGACGTATTCTCGTTCAGACATCCGGACCACTTTTAAATTACAAATCAGAGCCAAAAGAAAAACGAGCTCAAATGCGGTTTATTGTTGCCCCGTGAAAAGACAGGGGGGCCGGTCCCCCATCCCTTTCCTCTCTGTCAGCCCTGAGTATCAGAAGATCTCCGTGCTTGCGGTCATCTGCCCATCTCATTTCTTCTCCTCCACATACTGGTGGAGCAGGTCACTGACATCCGTCCGCCCGACACGGATCCAGCCATCTTCCTTCATGTGGTACACTGGAGGATCGAGACACCGGCAGGTCAGTAAGGGACAGTACAAAACTAGCCTCTGCCCCTCCCCCCCATGGGCTAAAGAACCCAGTGGCTGCTTGGGGAAACATACTGTTTACCACCCCGCCCGAATAGGCGTCACGATGGGTGGCATAGCAGATGGCCCTTCGGCCGAGCTCATAGGCCTCCTCCACACTAAGATCGGGCCGGTGGCCACTGTCCAGGATTCCATAGGCATACGTGTTTCCGCTTCCCGTGGAAAAAAGAGGGGCTTTCAGCCGGGCTCCTCTGTCATCAATGTAGTAGAGACCAGGGCCCTGAAAAGGGAGGAAATTGTGACTCTCTGCAGCTCTGCCTTCGTTTACCTTCCCTGTGGGATTGTGCAGCCCAGCCCCGTCCAGAGCGCAGCAGCCTCAGTCCTTGCTCCAGGGTGTGGTTGAGGGTTACACTCCAGACATGGGCAGGACACGACTCAGTTTAACAGTAACCCATCGCAATGCCTGATCAATCTAGGCTGATGCAGTTAGATCCGATTAGTTCTGGGTGGGAGACCACCAAGAAATTCCAGGGCTAGTCTAAGAAGTAAAAGTGAAAGCGGAGCCAGTTTGATCTAGTGGCGAAGACCCCAGGCTGGAAACCAGGAGAATGTGAGTTCTAGTCCCGCCTTAGCCATGAAAGCCAGCTGGGTGACTTTGGGCTGGTCACTTTCTCTCAACCGGACCCACCTCACTGGATTGTTGTTGTGAGGAAAACAGGAGAAGAAAGGAGTATTAGGTATGTTTGCCACCTTACGTTATCTATAAAAATAATAAAGGTGGGATAAAACATTCTAAAAAGGAAAAAACAGTCCAGAAAGCCCCCTCCCCATGGCAAACCGTTTCTGTACTGATGCCAAGACAGCTACCTGGACAAGCCATCTTATCCTTCTAAAAAAAACACCTGTAGCTCTCCCCCCTCCTAAAACTGAAAAGGCCCACCCTTTCACTCTAGGGGGCCATAAGGGAGGATCACTCTTAGGCTGTGTGTGGGCCACACTTTGGGCAACTCTGCCCTACCAGATGAACCTTCAACCCTCCCTTCCAAAGCTGATGCCTAAATACCCAACCTTCTTCTTTTTGATTTTCTGCTAGAATAGCTATCCTTCTACCGTCTTCTCTTCTCTTCTTTCTCTTCTCTTCTCGTCCCTTTCCCTCCTCCCTCTCCCCTCCCAGCCGCTCCTCCCCTCCCCTCCCCTCTCCCACCTACTCTCTAGCCATGCCTTGCCCTCCCCTTCTTCTCTTCTCGTCCCCTTCCCTCCTCCCTTCCCCTCCACTCTCCCTCCTCTCTTGCCATACCTTGCCCTCC